GCGTATTTATGTGTGTGTGTTTGTGTGTGTTTGTGTGTGTGTAATTGTGTGTGTGTGTTTGTGCGTGTATATATGTGTGTGTATTTGTGTGCGTGTGTTTGTGTGTGTGTGTAATTGTGTGTGTGTAATTGTGTGTGTGTAATTGTGTGTGTGTTTGTGTATGTATATATGTGTGTTTGCGTATGTATTAATGTGAGTATTTGTGCGTTTGTATGTATGTATTTATGTATGTATGTATATATGTGTGTACATAAGTGTGCGTGTGCGAGCGTTTGTGTACTTGTGTGTAAGTATGGATGTATGTGTGTATATATGTTTGTTTGTATTTTTATGTTTTCGTATCTGTCGGTATGTATAGATGTTGATAAACACCCACCTTAATTATTTCTCCAATTCACAAACATTATATTCGTAATATAATGCATAAATGAACCGTGGTGTAAATGAATAAAAGCTGTTAAATTCATGAGTAATATATATTTGTTATATTTCAAAAACAGTCTGGGAATGCATCCAGGACTAAAAAATGCACGGTGAATGTTGATTAATTTGTGCCCGAGGTTTCATTTTCGTACGTGTGTATACCGGTGAAAACGAATGGAAAACAAATGCATGGATGAATATGTTGGTGGACGGATGAATGAATAAATCGATAAATAAAAAATAAATGATTGGTTGGTTGATTAGTTATATGGATTGATGGATGGTTGGCTGGTTAGATGGATGGATTGATAGATGGTTGGCTGGTTGGTTGGATGGTTGAATGGATGGATTGATGGATGGTTGGCTGGTTAGATGGATGTATTGATAGATGGTTGGTTGGATAGTTGATTGGATGGATTGATGGATAGATGGTTGGATGGATGGATTGATGGTTGGTTGGCTGGTTAGGTGGATGGATTGATAGATGGTTGGTTTGATGGTTGAATGGATAGATTGATGGATGGATGGTTGGTTGTATGGATTGATAGATGAATGTTGGATACATTTTTGGAGCGGCTAGATATTGGTTTGCTTTAGATGACGTAGAAATAATGGAATGCGTCACGTTTTTTGGATATGCCTCCTTATAAATATGCTGATCAGAAGTCATGCCAAATGAAAAAAATGAAGAGAATGAAATGTGGATTAAAAAAATGATTGCGATTGTAACCCGTTAGTGTTCATACGCGTGTGTTCATGCCCCATCAAAAAATTATATGCTTATTGAACTGAAAAAATACTTATCCAACATTCTGAATATACATTGCAGACGGCTAAATTCTTTCTCAAACTTTTCTTATTTTAATAAAAGAAGCCGATTGTTTTAACAGCTCAACAGTTCATCGCTGACTTCACTAGCGAAGTTTCGTGACTTCTCAGACTGACTTGAAGTACTTCAATCACCTTGCGTGGGAAATGTTTACGCACGTGCGCTATAATTTTTTCGAACACGCAAACTTGAATACAAACAAACGAAAATAAAAACAACGAATTAATACACCAAAGCATTTGTATAAACGAATAAATACATGTTTGTTTCTTATATTCACTGTTTGTGCCTTCATTAATTTACCGACTAAATTCTGAAATTAAATGCACAGTGATCAAATGTTCACTTCAAGTCTATGCCAGATTAAAGTTTTGAAGTGGTTGGAGGGTAAAGTGTTTAAAAATAATGAGTGCAGATGCAAATGGGAGCTTGTTGATATGTGCGAATCATAAATGAAATTTGTTTCAATAAAGTTTACGAACTGTATATCAGGAAAAAAAATATCTATAGATACGTAATTTAATGCTGGTTTATACACGCAAACACACATACACAATCTCCGTTCATACACGCACACACATGTTTGTTTTGTATGTTTGTGGCCATGTGTATCTCTGCCTTTATGCGTCTGCATTCCTTGCATCTGGTCAAAAAACGTAAACAACTGGGCCTAATGCAATTTGTAAATGAAGAAGAAAGGAACCACAAAAAATATAAAAGTTAATTTATGTCTAAACCCGATGGTTATGAAATATACGGCAAATAACTCACCTTTGCAGGCAACATTTTGTTTACGTCATCGATGCTTACGTCATCGTTGTTTACACCATCTTCCATTTCCCTCCTCTCTCTCTTGTTCAAATCTAGCTAATATTATCCATAATTTGATATTTATTGCGTTTTGTTGAGTTTTAATTACCTCCATGCATCGGCGTCCTTTTCGTTTTTGGACCTCGGCCCCTTCCAGTTACTCCACCTCTAATTGATCCTCAGTTGATACCTTATTAAAAAAAACTCCCATTCATGTTTAGCGGGGACTCACAATAAATTATTTTTCCTTTTCATAAAAGCCTGTGCATAAAAAATATTTAAATCATCTTCGTTTGTGCCTAACGAGCGTTATTCATCTAGCTTATTAGTAAAGTATCTTCATTCATCCATTTACACATTCATTCGTTCTTCCATTTATTCCTTCTTATTCATTCATTTATTCATTCACTTATTCATTCATCTGTTTTTGAGTTTATTTTTGTCCAGTGGTTTTTCATTTGCGAGTGTGGGCATATGTAAGAATATGCACAAACACAATTGTGTGTATGTACGCGAATGTTTGCGTACATGTGTGCGTGTGTGAGGTATGTGTTGATACCTCAAAATAACAAAGTTACAAATGGGCTGAGCATTAGTGCTTGCGTGTTTGTGTGTATGCGTTTGTATGTTTGTGTGTGTTCGTATGTTCGTTTGCGTGCGTGTGTGAGTGGGTGCATGTGTTCATGTTGTTCCACAAAATTGTTTCACGGAATTTTACGCATGGAGACTTTGTTGAACGTGCCGGCGCGGCGGTATAAATTTAATTGTTTATGGGGCGATGCATTCATTAGTGGTCTGCCTGTTATTAAAACTGCAGGATGGCAAAATGGATCTTCTCGTCTGACATGCACACGTGTCTCTCCTATTTTTTCGCGCTTCCTATCCTGCCTGGATAAGTTGGAAAGAAAATTTTCATCTCTGTGTACGCTAAAAAATGTTTACACTTCAGCTAATCAAATAATCAAATGTTTGCTGTTACCAGTAACTAAATCAGTGCTAGTGTCTCAAAACTTGCAAATTTAATTTGGCTTCAAGAAGAGGAATAAAACATCGTATGAAATATCATTTCAGGCATGCATTACACATTTACAGATTTTTAGACACCCACCCACCCATCCACACACAATTACATCAAACACACAAACACAAACACACACACACACACACACACACATATATATATATATATACTTATATACGTATATACATATGCAAAAAGTTATGAAATCTAGCAAGTTTCTAGCATTGGATAGTTTTTGTTGCATTTCTCATCATTTCTAACCAAATATTCTTGTCATTGTTAGTTTTATTAAAGTTAGAATAATGCACAGTTTCAATACGCATGGTACACAGCATGTAGGTATACAACGAATGTAGAGAACCTTCATAGTGACTAATGTGTTTCTATCGGGTTCAACTGCAGAAGGCCGCAGTAATTTATTTCATCAAGCTCCTTCAAGAAACACAAACAAATAATTCGAAGAGACGTGCAAAAACATTTAAAAAAAATTGCTCTTTATGACTACGAAGGATCCAATCACTTGCAGTTCGCACAAACACGCACACACGCACACAAATAGATAATTAAGTATATTTTTATATACTTACCCGAATAAATAAATAATACATAGATACAAAAGCAAAAAATGTTTTCGTAAAAATATTAAACACTAATAGGAAAATAGCAGTCGTTGAAATAAGTTAAACGAGGCAATTTCGGAGAACAAATTGACCAATCCTTCTCCTTTTCAACCGGCCACGTAAGATGGCGCAACTAAAATACACTCCTAATATTAGATAAACTCTTTGCAAACACAACCTGAGCTCAGATCTGAGAGTATTACATAGCTAGATGCACATATCGATGGGATGTGGTGAATGTATGGAGGGCAGTTGAAAATAGGTTGAGGCAACGTTTCATACTTCTCGCTGACAGGATATAAAAGAATATGAATGAGTTTCGAACGCCCAGCTCGATAGTAAATAAAAGTGCAATTATAACAAACGAATTGTGCGTCATGAGCCACTGGAAGGAGAAAATGTTTGTTTGGTTTTGTTGTGGGATAAGTTAGTTAACTTCTGCGTGGTACGATGGGTGCGTGTGGTGTGGCGTGTTGTGGTGTGGTGTGGTGTGGTGTCATACAGCCAAAAAATGATGGTGTTGAATGTTGCAAATGAACTGCAGCTGAAATCTTAAATCATCCAATAATTTAGATTTTTATCTCTTAAAATAGACAACCAAAAATTTCTTTAAAACAATTCTCCTTGAATATTTTGGTCCTACGTTGACTGTTCGATGTTATACAGCGTGACTTTGTTGTGTTAGCAGCTGAAACAACAACAACCATAAATTCATGACAAAAAGTTTCTTTTCACCATTGTTGTCATCCACCTTCCCCCTCCCCTCTTCCTCCCCCTCATCATCATTATCACCATCATCACCATTTTATAATGACCAAAGCAAAAACAATCATTCAAAAACACAGAGTATTACTTCAATATACAATTACTTCGTGAATTATGATGATGATGATGAAATAGCAAAAAATAAAATAATAAAACTTGAAAGAAACTTCAAAACAATGGAAGATTAACAAGTTGGCAATGCATTCCTGACAGGTGGAACAATGCGAGACGAGGAAACAAATGGTGCATATAAGAAGAGGTAGGTAGGTGGGAAAGTAGTTAGGTAGGTAGGTAGGTAG